AAACTGAAGCTCAAAGACTTTGGCCACCAAATGAGAAGGGAGCACTCACTGGAGAAGACCCTGATGCTGGGAAAGATTGAAGGTCAAAGAAGACGGGGACAGCAAAGGATGAGATGGTTAGACAGTGTCATCGATGCAACGAACATGAAATTGAGCCAACTTCAGAGGACGGCGGAAGACAGGAAGGCCTGGCGTGATCTGGTCCATGGGGCCGCGAAGAGTCGATCTCGACTGTGCGACAGAGGCAAAGGATGAGATGGTTAGACAGTGTCATCGATGCAACGAACATGAAATTGAGCCAACTTCAGAGGACGGCGGAAGACAGGAAGGCCTGGCGTGATCTGGTCCATGGGATCACGAAGAGTCGGACTCGACTGTGCGACAGAACAACAACTCCAAAGTCCCAGGTTCTTCACATCTCCTTCGTACCTGATCCTTTGTTCTTCCTTCCTGTCCCCTTTTTCTTGCCTTGTATTACAGTGTGGGCAGTAGTTCTGAACTGCAAACTGCCTTGGGTATACCAGCAGAATATAAATACATCAAATAAAACTAAACTGACTTCCTCAATACTCTGACATAGTTATCCTCAAAAAGTTTGCGTAAAGCCATTTTCACAAGGGGCACAAACATTGGGTGGCTATCTACATGGGACGGGCATACAAAACAAAGGGCCTTATATAGTAATCAAGGCATCTAGCTCCATAAGTACGAGTATTGCAGGGTTTTGCCCATACCACTGATCCTGACAGTGTGGGAGGGACACAGACCCAATAAGGAAAAGATCCCCCTACATTTGGAAAGGGGAGGAGCCACCATTCACAACTATAGTACTTTATGGCACAGCAACTGTTGGGGGAGGAGACCTGCTTCTCTCTCATCTTTGTACACTAATCCTCACATCCTTTCATTCATGAACTCTATTTTTTGGTAAATTATCCCCCACCCCGTTTTACAAACACTCACTTTCTATAGTGGCACACCTTTCTTCTGGGATTCCATTTCTCCCATCCATCCCACTATGGAAACTGCTTTCTGTATTGATCCCTTCAAGAACACCTTATAAAACTCATCTTCTCTTTCATGCTTTTCAAAACTGATTTTCCTCCTTTCAGCTCAGTGCTTTGCCTGTTTTCAATTTCTCCCCGTTTACTTCCCTCAAGTATCACATCTACTTTTGACTGTTAAACTAGCAGTAAGCCAATATATCTACCTTCATCTCGAGATGATTCTTACTGACTGTTAAACTAGCAGTAAGCCAATATGTCTACCTTCCCACAAGGAGCGACGATTTAGAATTACACAGGCCACAGAAATATGAGTCTGTGTAATGATTTTCCATGAGCTCTTCTAAAGTCAATACTGTGCCAAATATTTGTATGATCGCAAGTGCAGCTAGGGATATATATGTGCCAATTCAAGCTAGAGCTTTAGCCTGATGCACAGTGAGAAGTCAATTTATCCCAATTTGACTCATTTGTGAGTCAGAAACCCAGCCAATTATGGTACAGTCAGGTTCTGCTATCTGGAAGATATTTTTCTTTAAAATATGTAGTCTGCAAGGTTGCCTGTCTCCTTATTAAGAATACAAAACGGGCTTTAATAAACTTCAGAATGCTTTCTATTTAAATTTATCTCAAATCTGAACAAATTAAAATATTTACCATACCATTTTTATCAAATAGTGGGCCATGGCATTCAGATGCCTTGTAGAAGATCCACTGACAATTATAAAATAATCACTGTATCTCATTTCTGGAGGCAGCTGAATAACACAGATATCTTTGGCATTTTCTTGTCTTAGCAGCGAAACCAGATGGTCGATGCTGAAAGTTGAACATGCATAATCTGAAATGATAAAACTACAGGAAATCAGTGAAAAATACACACATTGGTAGGCATGGAATGATTCATTTTTATATCACTAAAGGTTAATTTCCCTCATCATCTCGGAGTAAGCACTACTGTCTACAGCAGGGCCCCTCCAGCATGGTACCCATAGGTGCCATGGTGCCTGCTGACACCTTTCTTGGCACCCATGAATTATCTTTAGAAGGTGGGGAAGCTGCACCCACCACATGGTGTCAAAACTCCAAAGGTGCCCCAGCCAGGGTCAAAAGGCTACAGGTGTATTTATTTCATTTCATTTGGTTTTTTCACTCTATTGGTCTATATATAAAACTAGGGAAAAGGCCCGTTGTGGAAATAAATACAACAGCCTCTAGAGAGAGGCTCCGAGCGGGTGCCCCGGCCTTGGACACTCAGTGTCAGTTTGCTGTGGTGACCTCAGCAGGGTATGACACTGAGTCCACCATTTTCTCCATTTTCTCCAGAGGAACTGATCTCTGCTACCTAAAGAACAGTTGTAATTTTGAGTGATCTCCAGCCCTCACCTGGAGATTGGCAACAATGGTTCCCCAGAAGGGAATAATTGGTTTGGAGGGTGGAGTCTATAGCTTTGTACCTGTCCGAGGTCCCACGCCTCCTGAAACCTCACCCTCTCCAGCCCACACATCTCCAGGAATTTCCCACCTGGAGTTGGCAACCTTATCTCCTTCCCAGCCAATCATCAACCTACCTTTATTTCCCCCTGACTCTTCAGATTTCCACCCCCCACACACCTGCAGACTCTCCCGTGCTCTGAAGCCCTGACTGCTACGTCACATTAGCTGTCATATGGGGGCCACCTCAGCAGCATATGAGGATACAGAGCCCACCATTTTCTCCAGGGGAACTGATCTCTGCCATCTGGAAAGCAGTTGTAATTCTGAGTGATCTCCAGCCCTCACCTGGAGATTGGACACATTTTACCTCAGAAGAGCAAACTGTTTAGAATGTTAGAGGCAAAAGCCAATCAAGTCGCATATGCAAACGACCTCTGTGTTCCATGCAAATAACCTCTGTGTTCTGACTGGCTGTGGGGGGGAGAGGAAGAGCAAACTGTTTAGAATGTTGAAGGCAGGACTCAGGCAAAGCAGCCAGTGGATAGGGAGACCCTCTGAATGACAGATCAGAGCGCGAACTGATTTTGGAGCGTGTGGAATGTTCTAGAGAAGTGCAATCACCATTCGGCTTTTATTTATAAGGGGATGCCAGCTCTCTGCAAGCTATGGCTTGCAAGCTGGGCTAGGGGAAACACACACCCCTAGCTTGAAGGGGATGTCAGATGCATGAAATGTCACACGAGAACACCACACAGACTAAGGCTTCTTACTGGCCCGACTGAAATAAGATTCCAAGCATGACAGAAAAATCAGCCAAGCATGTGTGTCCTATGCCAATCCTCAATGTAATCAGGGTTGTGCCGGGAGGGAGGGGGCTGTAGCTCCAAGAGCAGCTGAAGGAGGCAGAAAGAATTAACTACTGGAAGCTGTGATGAAGAAACTAGCTGAGCACATTAACAGAGAGTCTCAGATACAGGATACTCCTGTGGTACAGTATGTCATCATATATTCAATAAAGTATTTTATGGCACCTATAGAAGCACCTGAGTCTTGAAACCAACCAGACAGTGCTGGAAGAGGCAGTACATGCCTGCAGTCAACCCCTTGGCACTATATGTTTATGTAAAGCTCCCAAAACACACTCTAGCCCCATAGCTAGAAAGCATACTACAGCATAACCATTTCGACTATAATGTAAAATATTTAAAAATCACTGATGTGCTCAGAGTCCAGCTCCAGGGTCAATTAGCCTGCATTCAAATTCTACAACCCTCCCAGGCCGTAGAGACCACAAGGAGCAGCACTTATCTTAGAACAATACCTCCCCCCCGCAATTCCACCTCCCGCCTTGTTGCAGGGCCAGTACAATAGCCGAGTCTGTGTCCGGTCTCTCCAAAGGCCGTAGTTATTGTGCACGGAGCCACTGTAGGGCTCGCTGCAAGATCAGATCTCGTTTCCTGGTGCTCCCATCAGCCTGGTTTCCACACAGGGGCTGTCCCGCTCCCTTTCCCCTGCCGTAGGTGTGCGCGCGACTCAGCCTCTCTACGCCGCTTCCTCTGTCGCCAATGATTTTTTAAAGGCCACTTTACTGCTTTTAAGAGGGTGAAGGCAGGATGTCCCGCAAGCCTTTGGCTCATGACTCGGTCATCGGGGAGGGAGAACAGCAGACAGTTCCCACATCACCAGGCAGAAGCCTCGTAGGGCCTCCCGGGCTGTTAACAGCCGCTATCCAAGCCAAGCGAAACCTTCCCCAGCATGCCAGTGGGGAGCCGGCGCTAGTCGGCGGCAGCAAAATAAAGCAGGAGTCCAGCAGCTACGACGTCAAGACTGACAAGATTTATTCCAGCAGCAGCTTTCGAGAGTCAGAGCTCACTTCTGCAGATGCATCGCAGCTGGGAAGAAAGCTTATATTGACTTTAAAAAAAAGTGTTTCAAGTGCCACTGGACTCCCGCGGTACTCTGCCAGATGCGCTTGTTAAAGGCTCAAGCAAGGCAGCCAGCCTCGCTGGTTTGGGGGCTTCTTACCGGAAGAGTCCCCGCCGGTATCCGGGTAAGTGTGTGGTTCCTGCCCGACTGCCTCCTCCTCTTGGTTGAACTCCGCTCCCGCAGCCTCCTCTGCGCCTTGCAGCGCAGAGCTACCCACGCCACTGACTCTCCGCCGCGCCACGGAGGCCACCTTGGAGATGAGGGAGGGAGCCCCCACCGGATTCACCACGCGCAGGCCCCTTGTCCCGCCGGCAGCAGCACCAGCGCTTAGTGCTTGAGCGCCCAGCAGCGTCCGCAGGCACCGAACCCTTCGCCACATGGCGCTCGGTTGCTCCCCCGGCCCCTGTAGAACTTTCGCTCTTGCTTCCTCCCCACTGAATGGCGGCTGTGGAAACGATCGCCGCTTGTGGTTGGCCGCGTGTCTCACGTGGGAAAAGGCGCACGCGCTCTCTGCGACAGAGGCCGAAAGGGCTTCTTTGAGGTTCGCCTTGTTTAGCCCGTCCCCGATTTTAGAGTTTGACGTCGTCTTGTTAGCGCTTTTATTTTATTGTATTGTATGTAGGAAACCTTCAATGCGCGCTGCATTGTCTTTGGAAGCTTCATTTTTTAAAAAAAACATGTTCTAAAATTTGTGCACCTGCATCCCGCACAGAGGAGCTGCGGTGGCTCAAGTGGTTAAGACGCTGAACTGCAGGCTGTGGAAGGTCAGTAGTTCAGCAGTTCGAGACCCGGGTGCCGCATGATGGAGTGAGCTCCCATCTCTAGTTCCAGCTCCTGCCAACCTAGCAGTTCGAAAGCAAGAAATTGCAAGTAGATAAATAGGTACCACTTTGGTGGGAAGTTAACAGCATTCCGTGTGCCTTGATGTTTAGTCATGCCAGCCACATGACCACGGAAACGTCTTCGGACAGCGTGGGCTCTTCGGCTTTGAAACGGAGATGAGCACCGCAACCCTAGAGTCGGATTCGACTGGCTTTCGAGCAAGGGAACCTTTACCTTTACCTTTACCTATCCCGCACAGACTTGGGTCTACTGTAGTCCTTTAACATTTTTGCTCAGGTAGCCTGATGTCCACTTCCTAAAAGGAAGGACAGGATTGCCTATTGAAGCGTTTCTTGGCCGCAATATGTTGCAGCTCAGGGGACATATTTGGAGGGTCATTTTTAATCCTGACCACCCCAGTCCTCTGGCCCCCGTTCCGTTATTGAGTGGGGGAATGCCTTTGCTGGCCTTTCACAGCACCGGCTGGAGACGGCCGTTGGAGGGAAGGGTCCAGATTCAGATGGGGGGATGCTGGGGGTGGGTGCTGGTTGCCACGGTTCCCTGCCCAGGACTCTGAAGACCATCGGAGGGTGTCAGGAGCTCAAGGGAGGCAGACCTTGCTTGGTTCAGCTCCCTTGTGGCCTGGAAGTCATTCCACTCCATGGACTTTCATCCCAGCCCAACTAGTCCATAGGGCCACGTGAGAAGGGCTGGGCTCTGGGGAGCAGGAACCACTCCCACCCACCCACCATGAGCTCTAAGAGGGCATAAGAAGTGCCCAGAGGAGGGGATATTGGAGGCCCTGTGGCCAGACCTTGAGCCCTGCAAGAGGGTCCTCCTGAGGACATGGAGTGTGTCCCCTTGGGAAAGAAACGGGAGACCAAAACACACACCAAGGGCGAGGAATGGTACCCAGGCCTCGGCCCCGGCCTTTGAGAAGAAGTGGGGTGCCAGGCAGTGTTCCCTCTAAGCTGAGTTAGTGTGAGCTAGCTCAGTTTTTTAGCCTCTGGCTCACACATTTTTGTCTTAGCTCAGGAAGGAGTGCTCCAAATTGCTCTCTCATAACTTTAATGCCAGTAGCTCACAAAGTTGAGTTTTTGCTCACAAGACTCCACAGCTTAGAGGGAGCATATGCAACATGGAATAGTGGTTAGACTGTCGGTCTGTAGTCTGGGAGGAAAATCCATGCAATATCTTTTTATATTTTATTTTATCTGGGAGACCTAGATTTGAATCCCCACACTGCCGTGGAAAAGCTTGGTGGGTGACATTAGTCACAGGCTCTTTTTGTAGAAAAAGCCCAGCAGGAACTCATTAGCATAATAGGTCACACCCAACAGCAGAAACTCATTAGCATATTAGGCCACACCCCTGACAGCACAGCTCATTAGCACATTAGGCCGCACCCCCATGTTACCAGAAGTGTGGTCATCCAGCCACACCCACCTTTTGCTTCTTATTCTGTTTACCTTGTTTGTTGTCAAAACCCAGGGCTTTTTTTGTAGCAGGAACTCCTTTGCATGTTAGGCCACACACCCCTAATGTATCCAATCCTAATGAGTTTCTGCTGTTGGGTGTGGCCTATTATGCTAATGAGTTCCTGCTGGGTGTGGCCAACTCGGGAGCCAGCCAGAACTCCGTCCCTGTGCGTTCCTGCCCAAAAATAGCCCTGGTCACACACACTGCCTAATCTACCTTCCAGGGCTGTTGTGAGAAGACAGTGGAGGAGAGGAGGACTAAATAAGCTGCTTTGTGTCACCTTTGGGGAGAAAGGTGGGATATAAAAGCAGTAAATAAATAAATCTTGAGCCCGTTAAAAGTCTTATTGTTTTAGATGGGACAGAGATGGTAGCCAGTGTAGGGTAGTGATTAGGAAGTTAGGGAAGGAGAGGTTTGTTTTACCTGGGGGGAGGCCATGGCTCATGCTGCAATCCCATTACCGTAAAATATTTTACGGCCATGAGGTCTTGTTTTTTTGATATCATTTCAGAAATAAAAGGGGTTGTGTGTGTGTTCCTGTTAGGCTTGCATCAACCCCTGAGAAATGCTACTTGGGTCCTGTCGGCAGCCCAGGCTCATTTTGCTGCTCAGCCTTCAAATTCACTATGTGCCCCTGAGCCTATCACTGTGTCTGCATGTAGCTACACCAATGTTTTTCGGTGTGGCCACATACAAGCCATAGTGACAGGCTGTAGTAATGGACAAAAGTAGTAACAGAATGCAGTCCAAACACATTAGCAAGCCATCTGGAGAGGAAGGTGCACATTTTCAAAGGTCCTGCCCAAGTTTTTCTTCTGTTACCCCTTCATGGATGTCGTTTTCCCTGCTGTGCCAACAAAGGTCTTTTAAAATAAATCAGTATTTGCCATTTCATGTGGTGTAATAATATTACAATGATCTAATGCCATGAACTGTTAGTTCCTCTGAATTTCCAGCTTCCATTATTTAAAGTCTCTAGTGCTTTCCATTATGAAGTAAAACAGACAAGACTTTTTCAAGAAAAGAAAAGAAAGCTGGGAATGTAGAGGAACTAATTGATCGTTATGACAGTATTGTACTAAGCCCAATAACAATTACTGATTTATTCAAAAGTGCTCAAAAAACCCTGGTGGCGGCATGGCAGAGGAAGAACGGAGAGCGAGTGGCCGCTGGCAGAGGACAGGTCACGCAACATTTCTCTGGATGCTCCATTGCCAGGGCAACAGGATCGTCACTGTATGGATGTATCCTCTCTTAGCCTTATCCTGGATTTTAAAAATGTTTAACTCTGAATGAACCAATTGTGCTGCAGAGATATAGTCTAGGTTAACTCCTTTAATTCTTATATAGTTCTGACTCATTAACTGCCTCTGCCAGATGTATGCAGTGAGGGGTCATGTTTTTGTAGGTGATTAGAGAAACTTGGATCTCTACATATGACCAGGGGCAGATTGGTGATTATGGTCACCAAGAAGAGTCCTGGTGGACCGATGACCTGCGAAACCGTCCCCCCACTGGAGCCACCCAGTCCTGGGCCTCAGTTCACTGTAGCCCAGGCTAGCCCTATTTCGTCAGATCTCAGAAGCTAAGCAGGGTTGACCCTGGCTAGTATTTGGATGGGCAACCTCCAAGGGATACCAGGGGCATGACTCAGAGGCAGGTTGTGGCAGATCACCTCTGAAACATCTCTCGCCTTAAAAACAAGCGCGCCACCTAGTAGGGCATAACGCTAAAAGACCTAGAACTTCTGGCTGCCAGACAATCTTAGGATCTCCTGGCTATACTACACACACTGCCATATGATAATTAATTAATTAATTAATTAACCTCACTGTTACAAAGGATGGGACAGGGCTGCTCAAACCAGACTCCCGCTGCCCAGCCACCTTGGCCAGATACCTCCTACTCTGGGCTGGCTGGGCCAGTGCTCCCTCTGGGTGGGGCAGTGTCAGTGTGGAGCCCTTTTCCAGGGTCATCCCCCCCCCCGGCCATCCATCCCTGAATATGTTGGCTGCACCAGTCCCAACACAAAACCAAGCAGCAGGTATGGCACAGAGAAAGCAATCGTTCAAAATCAGCAACAGTAGCCATGAGAGCAGATAGTAAGGCTCCTTCTGTACTGATTTCCTTTCATAAAGGTTTGATGCTATCATACCTCAGTAAATGTGTGTGTACGTATAAAAATACACATATAAATTGCCAGTTCCTAATATGATACTTAAGTTTTATTTCCTTAGACGCACGGTTGAGATTTACTTGTCTGCCATCCTCCTAGACTGTGCTTTATGCATTTCAATCGTGCTAAAATGGCAGCAGTTTCATGACGTTGCACAAGAACAGCCGGGGGGGGGGGAACCACCCGTGAACAAAGACAAATGAAGGTCTATCACCTGTTCCACAAATCCTGCCTTAACATGCATGTCAATTGCTCTGTACATGCAGATTTTTACATGCTATGAAGCAGTGATTGCCTAACAGTGTCATCTCTAAGCAGTTACACCCTTCTATGTCCACTGAAGTCAATGGCCTTAGGAGGTTATAGCTGTGCTTAGGATGGCATTAGTCTCCTAGTAGATGTGCATCAAGTATACACACAGGAAACCCAAAACCCATGCACAATTGCCCATGACTCCATACACAAGTTATTGCTGTGCCTGGTAAAGATGTCCATGTCGGAAATTTGGAGCACGTAAAGAGGCCTAACATTAAGAATACTTATGCTGTAAAGAATGAAACAGGCAATAGAGAAAAGGCAAGACCCCTCTGGTTCTGCCTAAATTTTCCAAACTTGATGGTTGTGGCAGGGATTAATGCGGTTTTGTTGGTATTGGGAAAGATATGGAAGTCTGAACACCAGCAGTTTATGTGGGTTAAAATAAGATATTTATTGTAAATTGCATGAGAAAAGGCCTCTCTCTCTCATGGCCAGATACCCCTTAGAAGATTTAGTAAGGATGCTCACAGATTAAAATATTATACATATTATATTTTTACAGCATACCTCAAAACTACAGTTTCTAAAAGTCCTGGATATACATGGCAGTGCCTATGTAGCATGTTGCATTCCATTAACAGAAATATATGGGCTTTAACTTGCTATTCCTTCCAAACTGACAGGTTGTAATAAATGGAATATCCTGTTCTTACCACCTTTTACTTCAGACTGAAATCACAGTCTTGCTTCCTACGAGGCAAAAGATGCATGCGTCATCTCTCCTTCATTTCTCAGTGTGTTTTTTAACCTTAAAATCAGCTGTGTGGGGTGGGGGGTTGGAGCCATAGTACTGGGAAAGGGAAGCTTTAACTCTTTTTCACCATACCATTTCCTGGAATGTTCTTATAAGGAAAGAAGGCAGCCATGGGATGCCTCCTTGCAGCCTGGGTAGGCCAGTTTCAACTGAGAAAACGCTTGAAGGGAAAGCGTTAATCCCCACCCTTACCCAGTTGCTTTGGCCTGGATCTCAACTGGACCCCCATTTCCCACAACTGCTTCTTATGACCTAAACCCATGCTGAGAAATCAAATTACAGATATTGGCTCCACAATCACTTACACGTACCCTCTAGCTTTTTATATATGTGTTTGTATGCCTACGCCAGGAGTAAAAAATGAAGCTGGTGGAACTAATTCACATTGCCAAACCTTTCTAAAATAAGATTTCTTCACTAATGTTTGCAGAATACTGATATTTTTTTGAAGATCTATTTTCCAACCTTCTGGAACACCTTTGATCCAGTATCCTAATACTGTACCAATAAACTAAAAGTTGGTTCCACCACTTGCACCATTGTGAACTTGGAGTATACCAAGTTAGAAGAGTGTGGGTGAATCAGCTGGTTCCACACACCAGCATGAGGTTTCTTGACTGCTAGGACAACAGCTGTTGCAGTAAGCACATTGGAATGCTTAGCAATTGGGGGGGGGGATATAGGGGAGGCTTTGTTTTGGTCCCCGATTCTAAATTGAAATAATGCAAGCATATCATCTTTGTGGCAGAGCCCATGCATGTAAAAAACTTTTCACACTTCCAAATACACCCCTTTCAGGAAATGAAATGCAATATGGTACAAGACAACTCCATACCACTTTGTGTTCTGCCAAAGCAAAGGGAGGGAGAAATTATTGTGGGCTGAAGACTCATGAGTAGGTAGGTGTCAAGATATTAATGTGCTGCCTGTGGACATCCCCAAGTACATCCCAAGGGAACTGTGCCTCAACTAATTCAGTGCCCATTGTGTACCATGCTCGTCTTCATACAGATAGGAGAACTGTTCGCCGGTAGTGCAGAGGATGGAGGAAACAGACAGCAACTCACTAGAGCAATTTGGCCCTGTCAGTCTAATTTGATGTCATCTGCCTAAATGATATACAGAGTGGCTGAATACTGGTCCTTTTACAGGTGCCAATTACAGTTTTCAAACTTGCCAAACTGAATAATGTGCACGTCTCACCACGGAACAGGGGAAACTCAGACATAATTCTTCCCCAGCTCAGTGGGACTGACTCCCCTAGGACTTCAGCTGAAGTTCTTCAGAGGAAAATCTTCTCCCCAAAACATATCTTCTGATATTTCTGAATAATTAATTTAGGAAATGGTATATAAATAATAATTTTAAATGTTTTTAACCTAATATACTGTAGCATAACTAAGAGCATAAGCAAATAAAATGTTCCATTTCTCAAAGAAGTGCCATTTTATACTTCTAAATGAACTGAACAGCAGTTACTGCTATTACTTCTGCACATGTTGGCAACGTGTCAGAACTCTTCGTTTGAACAATGTATGCTTCCATTGAACTACAATTCAACGTAAAGCCCCAAATTAATGGAAACAGCTGAATTTATGCTAGAGAGTTAGATAATCCCAAGATTGTTTTTTAAGAGTGGATCCTTCTCATTGTTTGCTGGGAAGAGAACAGCCTTAAAACGGTTGAAGTAAACATTTAGCCCCTCAGTACTGGCTGCTTGTCCTGTGTTCCGGTTAATAGGCTTGTATTCTTTGTATCTCCTGGAAGAAACATTTTTAAAATTAATTACTGAAAGGTCTTCCTGTGATGGTGCACTGTCATGACATTAACAAAACTGTAGTATGAAAAAGGTCCCCAAGCCATTTCATTCTCCCCATACAAAATACCATTGCCCAGAACATCAACATTCTAATGAATTCCATGAGAACTGTAGGGTGTTATTAGCAAAGCAGATAATTGCAGCTCCAGGTAAAGCAGATTTAAAAATACAAAACCAATGGAAAGTTTACAAATGTTTACTGCTTGCTGTTCACCACCGAACTTACTAAGCCTTATTTGTAGGGGCAAGACCGTGAAGGGAGAAAATGGATTTTTAAAATATGATGTGAAAGACCTTTGCATGAGACTCTGGAAAGCCTCTGCCACTCTGAGTAGACAATAAGAACATCCTGACATTAAAGTTTTACAAACAGGGATTCCCAAGGACTTGTGGTGGTGGTGGGGAGCATGTCATCACCCCATGCCCATTATTTCTTCTTTCCCTTCCCTGGCAGCCCCTATAGTCTTTCCTTTTCCTGCTTCCTTGATCACAGAAGCGGCCTTATACTGAATCAGACACTTGATCCATCAAATTCAGTATTGTCTACTCAGACTGGCAGTGGCTCTCAGAGTCTCGGGCAAAGGTCTTTCACATCACCTGCTTCCTAATCCTTTAACAGGAAATGCTGGAGTTTGAATTTGGGACCTTCTGCATACCAAGCAGACTTCTCTACTTTCCACCCAACAGCCAATCTACCTTTATCTCCCTCCTCCATCTTCAGCCTTTCTTTCTTCCATTCCCCTAGTAGCTTTTACTCAAGAAAAAGTCTGACCAAGTTGTGCAGTGGCTGTCAGTGAGCTAGGCTGAGTCGCACAGTGGCTGTTGGCAGGCCAGGCCCAGTAGCACGGTGGCCGCTGGGCCAAGTAGAGTGGGAAGTGAGTTTCTGGTGGTTGCTGCCAGGCTTTTCCCAGGGAGGTCCTCCTCCATCAGGGAACATGACAGGGGAGGGAGAGGAGACGCATTCCAGGGATGTTTTAGCCCCCTGCTCTTCCCATGGCTTTGCTCTACAGAAAGCAAGACTTGGGAGGTTCTGCAATACTGTTGTCGTTATATAGCAACTTCTGAAATGGGAACTGAGAGTTGAGTGGGCATTCTTTTCTTTTTTTAAGCTACAGATGTTTCTGTTGCTTTGGGGAGTTTGAATCCCTCCTTTTTTTAAAGATTTCATATTTTTCTGCAAACTTGGGACTTCAGATTTGTAGGAAAAACTGGCCAGAGCTGTCCTTTATTTCATTTTGTGGATCTGTTAACCCACACTTCATGGACCAGTGCAGAACTAGATATATCATATCCTGCTTCTCAAGTCATTCTGGAATTTGGCAAGCCAGAGCACCCTTTCAGATCCCATCCTTTACTTCCTATCTTTCCCCTACCTACCTGATAAGTATGCATTAGCCATAGCCCAGCAACACTGTGAGGTCCATGTAGAATAAGTACATTGTGCTTACCAGGCTATTTATCCTGTGCATATACAACTGCTGCAATAGCATACAGAAAAGAAAGTTGTGTGTGAAGCTGGCACTTATCAGCCATTTCTAAATCTCTGCATAATGGCTCATTGGGTTCATTTAGCCTGGAATTGCCATGATTTGTTTTCTAAGTTTTAATGGAGAATGCCAGTGATGTTACTGGCCACAAATTGCATTCCAGTATTTTCTCTAATGTCCTACCATCTTTTCAAAGACAATTTCTTGTGGTGATTTTTTTAAACATAAAACTTAGCTTGCCACTGCAATTATCTAGTGTGGACCATAAAAGTACCATTAAAGGCTATCATTCCTCGATATTTTCCTTCTTTCCTTCCAGCTTAGGATGCAATCTGAAACATACTTACCAGTGAGTCTAAAGCATATATAGTCAAAATTAAGTCCTATTGAACACATTGGGACTTATTTTTGATTACATATGCTTTGTTATTTACTTATGTAGTTACTTTTACTGTTATTTACTTATTTCCTGTTCTGTTCTACTACAGGTCATGGCATTCATGAATCAACTGTTAATTATTGGGTTTGTTTTTTAGAGGACAACGGTAGGGAGGTGGAGGGAGACAACCGTTGGGAGAAGAAGAATCTGTGGTGAATGATTCTTCCTTGTAAATGTGTAATAAGATTGTGCCTCTGTGGATGGGCATTACTAGGGTTTGATAGAGAATATTAAGTGTCATGTAGAACCCCAGTCCAGTTTAATTTCCAGGCTGATTGCTTTAATCCTTCAGCAGCACAAAACAACCCTTGCATAGATAGCAGAAATCTCCTTCTGAAATAATTAGGAATCTAGATCCAGGAACTTACTTGTAGAGGAAGAAAGTCAATACAGCAGCAAACACCACCAAGAAACCACAGGCGATGAGAACTCCTTCTGCTGTTCTTGAAAATGACCCTGCAGCTTGAACAACAAGTTGAAGACAGCAGCTTCAGGGAATGTCTGAACTGTGCTTACTTTGAGGATCAAGTATGCTCCAGCCTACATGGCTTTGAGGCTCCCACAGACTCTTGGACATCAGTATAGCTGATAGGGACAGTTATGGAATCTAGCTTGTTGACATAGGACCACCTGCGAGAAATGTCTAGCTTCTGAGGGACAGCTGTCTAACACACAGGTGTGTGTGGGGGGGGAACCTCCAAAATCAATGGGAAACTAATGCAATGATTCATTCAGGACTCACCTCCACTGATGGATATTAGAGTACTTGTGAGAGCCAGGCTTGTTGCATCTCCCAGGGTGATGTTTACACAATAGGTTCCAGATTCATTGAAGGCCCTTCTTATGGTCAGCAAACACTGGTCAGTGATGTCAACGGGGTCACATGCCTCATTCTGTAAGACCTGGCATGTGGGATCAGCTATTATAGTGCAGGCATCTGTAGGAAGACTGAGGAGAGAAAATCCAAAAGAGAATGGATCACATTTGTTACTCAGTAGACAGCAACGTTATGTCTATACCACTTTTCCATTAAACTATGCCAGAGGTAGTTAAAATAACTCGTGGGCACTCAATTAAATTGTTGAGAAGTAGGGTTAGAACAGATAAAAGGAAATACTTCTTCACTCAAAGAGTGATTAACACATGGAATTCACTGCCACAGGAGGTGGTGGTGGCTACAAGCATGGACAGCTTCAAGAGGGAATTAGATAAACACTTATGTTCTTATAATGATTTGAACATGAAAGACAGTTGACCTTTAAAGGTTTTCCAGTCTGGAGCCAGCATACTTTAAGGACTGCCTAATCCCATGTGAACCTTTCCAACCACAGTAAGACGCAGGAAGGGGAAAACAAACCTGACCCAAAAACTGAAATCAAGAACCAAAAGGGTGAGAACAAAGTCTAATGAAGGGCCAATATTAAAAACCTAGTTAAAACTTATAATATACAAAAATACAAGTATTTGTTAGAAATACAGTTAAAAACATACATAAGGGCCCAATGAAAGCCTTGTAAAAAAGTATAGCCTAAACACAAGGGTCAATACACATGACCTGACGCATTTCTGCCCTATTGGGGCCTTCTTCAGAGGTCAAACAATATTGAGGTACACAAAACTTAAATACATATTGCAATAAGATAACCAATACGTGAATATTGAACCAGGAAGAGGAAGGTTAAGCAGCAAGATCTAAAGACACATGACAAAGTTGCTTGTGAGGCCTCAAAAGGTGAAAGTCATGTGTCTGATGCCAAATGCACAGTTGCTGTGTTAGAACATCTTCCAATTACTTCCAATTTAGATCCAAAAAGCACCTGTGTGGCTATCAAAGTCAGAGCTAGAGTGTCCTCAAGCACATCAGACACTGGCTGAGTACCTGTGACAACACAGAATGTCCTGAACTTTGTATAGGTCCTCGTGCTGCTTATTGTTGGTGGGAAGGAAGGTGGAGAATGAAGAGGACTGAATTTTGCATATATCCTTTGATTTCCTACCTTTTTCTGATGGCTAGCTTCACTAGGTGAAAAATTAGCAGAGCTCCATATAAAAGAGTGTTCAACTCATGCACATCTGTGCCAGGCCAATAGCCAGATTTTGGGGGGGGGGGGATAGAGGGCGGTTTAGTCACATCCCCAGTTTAGTATGATGCCTAATTTAATTAACAAAGCTAATTTAATTAATGGACCTAATTTAATTATTGGAACTCTCAGGAAGGGGTTTCTTCCTCCATGAGACCCTGAGAGGTCTTCCACCAATGCTACTCAGGAGTTAGTGGAACGGCCAATGCCACAGCGGGCTGAAGGCACTGATTCTCAGCCTATTGAAGGCAAGGGGGAGCCATGGGAGAGTCAGTGGGACACCATGATAGAGCAGCCATTGTAAACACCCCAAATGGCCCCACCTCCATTTTTTTTTGGACTTGCTTCTGGTGTGCCTTGAGCCAGCTACTCTTAGGGCTACTGCAGCTGCTCCAGGAGGTCCATCCCTCGTTTTTCCTTGTTGTGCTTTGCTTTTCTCCTGCCCTGAGCACAGCCTCTGGGGCACATGGCATGTCTGATAGCAGCTTTCTCAGTGGGTACTGCTTTGGTAAGTGGACATTCTTTTTTCCTAGTGTGAATAGGCAGCATCCAGCAGTATGGAGACGAGTGGCAAAACAGCACTAACTGTGATAGACCACGGCCAAGCAGGAGGGGAGTGAGAGGAGCAGCCTATGCATGGCCTCACATGGTCTTCCTGCTTCCACAGCCGGCTTCTCATTTGAAGGCCGCCCCTCTCCCTCCTCTCCTGCTCAGCTCTATCTTCAAACTTTGCCAACATGAAATGAAGGGCCCCCTGCCCACACTGCAGGTCTGGCATCTTCCCAGAGGGGGCTGGGCACATCTGCAGGTGGCATAGCCCCCTTCGGCCCCACATGGCTATGGGCCTGATCTGTATTCTGTTGCCAGAGTGGGATGCAAAAGCCATAAGAAGGGCTAAATTTAGAACAAACCAATTAAAATATCCCTACTGTATCAGCAAGGGTATTCTAATTGGTTTGTTCTAAATTCACAAACAATGCCCAATTAGAATATCCTATGACT